TTCTCCTGTCTAGAGCTGAAACTAGTGTCACTAGTCATGGCATGGTTGGCCCACGTCGAGGGAGGACCATGTAAGTCATAGCAGTAGTTAATGGTATGTCCATCCAAACCATAATGAGTACACTTCCGTGGACCCGAGCCACGTCCTCTTCAATGCCACTGAAGAGGAGCCAAAGAGGTTTGAAGTGCAACGATAGATCCACCATCGTCAAGATAATACAATCTGCCAGCTTCATGCCCTCCACCAATCTTCTTCCCTGTCGTTAGATCCTAAAAAACACGAGGAAGGGTAAAATGTGATAGAACAATTGAGGGACTTGATTAGTTTACTAACAAACATAAGATTGAAAGGAAACTTGGGACCGTATAAAACAAAAGTCAAAGAAAGAGATGCTATGTTAACATTACCAACACCATAGATGGGGGAAGTATATCCATTGTCAAGGGTCACATTATTCGATGTAGAAGTTGGAGAAAGGGAGGAAAACACACCTGGAGTCTCAGTCATGTGATCAGAGGCTCCAGAGTCAATTATCTAGGGTCAAGGTTTGGATTCTAGGCAAGCTATACCTAGATGAACAAGAGTGGTAGTATTCTGATGTGAGGTGGCCTGAAGAAATCTCTCATACTCCTCTCTTGGAATACTGATCATCTCCTTCCCAAAAGTAGTTGTGACTGTAGAGGATGCCGGATCAATTAGTTGAATATCACTAACTTCACTACCACCAACAGCTACATGATTAGCCCATGTTGATGGTGGACCATGCAAATCATAGCAGAAGTTAATTGTGTCCTTCTCTCCCACAATGTGTGCATTTTCTAGTGGTGCTCCCCCTTCCTCTGTCACGGCCTCCTCCACCACTATGACCACCCATAGGGTTACCACGGCCTCCCTTAACTATATGACCACCTCCTCTGTGTCCATAAGAACCACCTCGAGTGACAACAAGTGTTGATCTATCAGAAGGTATGTTACACTCTGTGGAGGTAAGAGATATCCTACGGAGATGGGCAAACACCTCTTCTAGAGTAAGGAGTGTAGATCCTCCCAATATCTGTGCTCTAGCAGGTTCATATTCTACTTTCAATCCCACCAAGAACCGAGTAACATCTAGTTGTTCCCTTTGTTGTTGTTGAATCTTAACGTCTGGTGTTAAGGGATGATARACATTAAGTTCATTCYGAAGATTCTTCATACAGKYGTAATATTCTTCAAGAGTCTAGTTTCCCTGTTGCAAACTAAAGTATTCCTAATAAAGCTGATAAACCCTTGTGGTGTTGTCTTGTCCAGAGTAGAGTTTCTTGGCATGTTCTCATATATCCCTTGCTGTAACACTGACTCTAGGCTCCATACTGTTCCACAACCACATCATAATTTGAGCATCCTCTTACTCCCAATCAAGATTCAAAGGGTTTATGATGTGGTTCCGGAACCCCACCGATAAGTTAACATATATCCCTTGCTGTAACACTGACTCTAGGCTCCATACTGTTCCACAACCATATCGTTCCGGAACCCCACCGATACGCCCCTACAGTTCAGGGTGTAGTGAAGACCTAAATCGGCTCCCCTGAACCAGTTGGCAAAAAAAATAAAAAATAAAAAAAAAACACCAAAAGGAGTATCGATTCGCCCTATACGCCCATACCGGCTTATTGGGCGTACCAATATTTTGAACCTTGCTCCAAATCACTAAAACCCGGGGATTCAGCACGAGACTTCTCCTCTCCCGTATATGTTTCACTTTCTTCTTAGCCTTCCGAAACACCTCCAACAACTTGGCCCACGGAACATGGATTTCACCATTAAGTTTGATGGAGGTCATCTGGACATTTAAAAAATCAGAGGAAATCATGACACTCGATTTCTGGTCACCACTCGCATCTCCCATCGAATCCATTTCAGTCTACAAAGTCGGTTCTGCCCGTCACACCCAAAAAAACAGTTCCAACCACTGCACTACAGTTTGTTAGCTACCACACAAGCACACATGCAATCACCAAGTACTGGCCTTAGCAACGCAAGGAGATCAAGAGCACTACTGCACTACATATGAACACTGAGAAACCTCTTAGAAATGTCAAGGTGCTCAGCTCTGTCAGGTATTTAACCGTATTCTTTCTGTCACTCTTATCATCAGTTCATAACAGATTCAAAGTGTACAAATCAAGGCAACATAAACAGGTTTTTTGCTTTTTTACAAGACTAGTTCATTAGAGCCTTACTCATAACCAAGTCGGGTAGTTTGATTCATTCTGGTGTAATGGGTAATGTTCTCAGAGACTTCTTGTGATTGTACTTATTCCTACTTTTTGTTTGGAACCGTAATTGTTCTGTGTTGAGCTCTGATGTAGAAGCTCTGCTTTCACTTCTGAAAGATTTGACAGTACCACCTTCGATCATATCGAGCTGGAATTCGAATGATTCCACGCCTTGTAACTGGCAAGGAATTCAGTGTGATGATCCTGAACAGAATGTAGTCACCCCGAACTTGTCGGGTATGGGGATTTCTGGTTCACTAAGACCGGAGATTGGCCATCTGAGATCACTCAAGACTATTGACCTTGGCATGAACAATTTATCGGGCTTGATCCCGGTAGAGTTGTCGAACTGTACTCTGCTTGAATACTTGGATCTATCGGTGAATGGTTTCACCGGTGATGTGCTCGGAAAATTAGTATACTTGAGGAATCTGAACACAATTTATCTCTACAGTTAATGGGTTCACTGGTTCCATCCCGTCCAATGTAGGAAACATGACTGATCTTATTTCTCTGTGCCTTTATAGTAATCAATTATCAGGCATGATACCAGAATCTATTGGGAATTGTACTAAACTGCAAGAACTCTATCTCAGTAAAAATCACTTAGTTGGAG